GGGGGGGGGGGGGGGGGGGGGGGGGGGGGGGGGGGGGGGGGGGGGGGGGGGATACTCGTGTTTCGCATGCCTTAGCTGGTAGACCACGCGCCCTCGAGAGCATTGTTCCCACAGGACCGATCACGGATGGCCAATCATACCTTCCTACTTTGGTCAAAGGTGGTTCAGCAACGTTTTCCCTAGCCTATTGATTTCACGATGGGCGGGGGGCGGGAGGGCATGCAAGCGAGAAAGGGCAAGCGAGAGAGAGCGGCTTCGGTCGCCAAGCAGACGTAGCCAAGAACCACGGATGTCCGTCGACAAGACAAACGACACACACGCGTGCAAGAATAAAACATGCAGCGCAAAACAAACGAAACAAAAAAGAAAAGGCGACATAAATGATTTATTATATCTGTGTGTCTTGTGTTTGCGTACCGGACATTCCCACCAGGGCTTGGGGACGTCGGGTGTGTATGTTCGTGTGTGGTCGTCACAGAGAATAAATGCTATTAATGATAGGGCTGGTTGAGACATCTTTGATCGGTGTCTGTCTGTCTGCCTGTCTCACCTGAAGACAGATGTTCGGCGCCGCGGCACGGATCTGCCTGAGACGCTCCCAAGGGTCCTCGTTGAGGAACCGATACGCCACGTCGAAGGTCGCACCGCCCCACATCTGTCACGACAAGCATTAAGCACGACACAAGGGGGTGTCGTTGCGGTTCGGGAGGCGTGTTAGGCGTTGGCGACTGTACATATGTACATGCATGCGCAAACAGGCACGTTTATATCGTCGTGTCTTCTGTCTCCCCCCCCACCTTGTCTTATTTTCTTGACCCACATAACTCCTTCCTCTATGTGCGTGTCTCTTTCTCTACCTTCCCCATCTCTGTCGTTCTCCCTCCCTCTCCCTCCCCCTCTCCTTGTGTATCTCTCTGTTTTTCTGTGGTGACGTCACCTCGAGCGAGAAGGCGTTTCCGAGCAGCTGAGAGGCCAGCTTGGCCCCCTCCACCAGGTCCACGGTACGCACACGAGTCGCCAGCAGCGACTGCCAATTTCACAAGAAAACACACATACACACACATCAAACAACAAGACAACAACGGCCGCGGTAACACACACACCACCAGGCGGACGGGGCGGGGAGGTCAGGTGTTTTCGTATTGGAGTAATCTAGCTTTCGCCGAAGACGATCTCATGTGTGTCACGTGGGCTACAGCACTCTTGCATTTCAACGCACCGCTGAACAAAATCCCGGGAGCCCACGGGTGGCGCAGCGGTGCGCTATGCGGCAGCGTGCCGAGAGGGGATTATAACACCATACGTCGAGACAAACAGACGACACGAGAACAGAACAAAAAAAAAAACAAAGCCAGAAAAAAAAAAAACGTTGCCAAAAAATTCGTCGAAAAACGATCCAACCCTGATGATTGATGTGCGTTTAAAAAAAAAAATCAATGGCCACCCAAAATGGTCGTCCCCCACCTGACTGAAATGCGTTTAAAAAAACATCATGAACCAGGAAACCACCCGAAAACGTCCTCCCACCTGATGTGCGTCGCGCATGGTAGTGTCTGTGACCATGACGCCCTTCTTCTGCCGCACCCACGCCGCCATGGCCTCCGGCCCCTTGGCGTCCAGCACCGACTTGGCCGTCTCCCCCGCCGCCTCGGTCGGCTTCACGTCCGGGATGGCGGGAGGGGTGGTCGTCATCCCCTGGGGCGCGCGTCCCTTGTGGGCGGAGCGCTCCCCGTGGATGGCCTGCTCGGCCAGGAAGGTGGCGAGCTTGGAGGGCTTAGTGGACGGCCTGGCCGGCCTCGACCTGCCGTTACGCGAACAAGAAACAAAAGGCAAGACAAGATTTATTTATAAAAAAATATATATATATATATATAGAAAGGGCGTAAGCAAAAAAACAAACGGAACCAACACAAGAAAAGAGAAACAGGGGGGCAGCGGGGACACGTGTTTTGTGCCGCTCGGTAAAGTCGTTCGGTGAAACCGTGGGGAGGGTTCAAGTTCATTCACGTTTACCTTTCATGACATCCTCGACCAGAAACAACAGAGACCACAACAACCACCAGCAAAACGTCCCCACCCACTCACAAGCAACGTCAGCAATGACCACAACGCCGCCCCCCCCCCCCC